AATCACAAAACAGAATTAGCAGTTTTAGTACAGATTTTGGGCGTGTTAACCCATTAAGCGCCAGCGCTCTCCCCTTGACGAGTAAAACCGTCTGGCGTTAGACAGAGTAAAATACTCTGGCGTTAGACAGAGTAAAATACTAAAGTAGGGTGCATCAGGGTGCAATGCGACCCAATGGGTTAACTAGACACATGGGCAGATAGATCAGTTAACCCATTAAGCGCCAGCACTCTCCCCTTGACGAGTAAAATGGTCTGGCGTTAGACAGAGTAAAATACTGTTCAAAGTAGGGTGCATCAGGGTGCAATGCGACTCGATCAATGGGTTAATATAGTACATAACATAGGTCATAGACATACAGTTTCAATACAAATGATTTTGAACAACGTCAAGGTCAATGAAATCATACAAAATGAATTTATGGAATATCAATTAAATGTATTTAAAACAAACATAATTTCAACATCCAAATAAGCAATAACATCCCAGTAAGTATAAATTCAACTATTTTAAATCAATTGTTTGAATAGCCAAATTAAAAGTTGTACGAGTGACAAAATCATTCAATAATATTCACATTTTATCATTTATATTATGTGTCAACTATCAAAGTCGCACTGTTAAGTATATTAAAATATGTATACTTTTCATAAGATTAGATGTAAGATATAATTGTACGAAGGTAACTGAGGAACGACGATGTGTAAGACAATAAATCATACATACAGTGAAAAACGCTCTTTTTGTAGCACATCCTACATGTACATATCGGCAGCATTTTCCTTGCGATAGTAACTCCTAGTTTAAATATAAAGGAGCTCTGACTCAACTGATTTCTTTCAATCTTTCGTCTCGCAATATTTTTTTCATAAACGCCTGAACAAACAGCCGCTTCTGTATAATAGTTGTTTACTTTTTATTGATCTGATGCAGATCTGGTGCAATTTTTCGCTCTTTGTACTGAGTGTAGCCATCTATTCTGTGATGTAGCACCTTATACAGTCAATGACAATGTATAATGAATACACGGTCTGAATAATATCGATGGGCACTTAATTGAATGCCGGTAATCATAACATCAATTTATATATTATATTATTGCGTAGAATCTCAAACATTTTCTCAATATTCATGTCTGAAATGTTTATATACTTGAAAACAACACTGTCTCGCTTCTTCGTACGTACTGTACCTCTGTATAATGAGTATACCGTGAAAATAATATCAGCACTCAATTGAATGCCTAGAATCTCAAAGATTTTCGACTCAATATTTTAATACGTCTGAAATGTTTACACCCTTGAGTCTTGACTGCACTGTCTAGGCGGTCTAGCTCCTTCCTAATCCTATAGCTCTGTATAATGAGTATACCGTCTAAATATTATCGACGCTTAATTGAACGCCCGTAATGCATAAAATCAATTCATATATTTCGTAGATTTTCAAAAATTTACTCCATATTCACGTCTGAAGACTGAAATGTTTATACATTTGAAAACAACACTGTCGCCCCTTCCTAGCATATCGTCACGCCATCGTGGCCTACGGCTTGATAGCGCATGCGCATTTGCGCTGCTAAAGAAAACATCGGGTGTTCCGCGGTAAATATCCTTTACACAACATGAGAAGCGAATGTTATAAAATTTAAAAAAAAATTACAATAACGAAAACGATTCCTCGAAACTTTTGTGAACCTAGCAAAAGGCCTAAAGAATATTTAAAGAAGACAACTGAAATTACCTAAAAAAAACTTTCAAAGTACTGACTAAGTACAATAAATCACTGAGAACATAAATCGTATGCACCCCCCGGAAAGTTTACTCTATGAATGACTGACTGAATGAATGACTGATAAGTGTGAATTTTCGCCACCATCACAATATTGTGAAGTTTCGAAGAAACTTCACACTAAAAATGGTATCGATCTTTGGCGGTTACACTTGTTTTGTATTTTGTTAAAATACTCAGCGGTTCTAAAAAAATTTACTCAAACCCCTGAGGTGAATGCACAGAGGTGAATGCCTTTCAAAGATCGACATTTGTGAAATTTTGGTAACGTGTTTGTGCAATATTGCTTTGTGAATATTGTCCCGAGGTGGAGGTTTGACTTTTCTTTATTCCCCGGGGTGGGGAATTGACAATTTAGAAATAAAAAATCCGCAAAGAGGGATAAACAATCATACACTTACTGTCTGAGAGTTCCCCTGTTCCATATTCAATTCTGTTCCACCAATCCTGAGCGTATCACCTGCGTCTGTCGGACATATAATTAAGAGAACAAAGGATGTTTGGCATATAGGTTAATGTCGAAGGATTTCGAGTGTACATTTTATTAAGGCCTAACCAGGAGCAGCTGCGAAAAATGCAATTATACTGGCCTTCTGGCAGGAATCGAACCTGCGATTCCAGTGCAGAGCTCTAGCCACAAGTTCATATCAAAATTTATAAAATTTACACTCGCAATTTCCATCTACAAAATCCTTTCAACATTATAGTCCAGTTGAGTGAGATGCCCATAAATATCTTGATATTTACCCATTAGGCACGGACAAATCTAAAAGTCAAACTGACAATTTAGATGTCATTCTGTCGAGTGGGCCATTTTTACTAAAATCATTACGTTGGTGTAGCTGCGTATGAGACTGAAACTGATGTCCATCATATTTAGGTTTACTTTTCTTTCAGGCACTTGATTGTGGTTATTATATACCTTAAAACTTACATATATGCACGGAGTGCGTTAATCTTATGCGTGCCTTCATTTCAGTACTGAAACGCTCTGTAGTATTCCCACCCTATTTTCAGTATTGCTTGTGACTCGTCGTTTAAATTACTGTATAATAATTGGTTCCTTACCTTTCTCCTTATTCCCTTCATTGACTTCTCCTAAACTGTTGGCCAGTCCTCTCAAAATCTCTTCGTTTAATTATTGGTTCTTTGCCAGTAGAGGAAGTGTAGCTCAATTTTACGACGGGTATAGATGCTTTGAAATACTCTTCGCGTTTTGTTAAGAGATTATTTGCGTTGTCCAACATCATTTTCTGAGAGGAAATTACTTCTTCTTCCGTGCCTTGGTCGACCAACTTTTTCGAAAGTTGAACAGACGTTTTTATGTTCTCTACGCATAACTTTGATTCTTCTGCCTGTCTGTCCAGATTCGCTCGTTTCTCTTTGTGAAGTTCATCTACTTTGTTGAAAAGAGTTTCAGCATTTTGATCCAACATTTCAATGACTTTCTTCACAACAAATTCTTTTCTTTGTACAATTTCAGTTTTTATATTCTCAGCATCCTGATCAAGTTGTTCTATCGTAAGAGTTAATCGTTGAACAAAGGCATTGCCTTCAGTTAAAGCGTCTTCCATTGCTTTGTTATTTGAAGCAAGTTGTTCCTTATAGTTGTTCACTACATCCTTGACGAGAACACACGAATGATTTTGCTTCACGTGTTTAAAATCCATGCAGTCCCTGCAAATCAGTTGGTCGCAGGTTTCGCAGTAAACTTTTAATTCCATCCCCGAATGTTCATTGCAATACATTTTGCCTTTGATTTCCTTCCGAGTCTCTGGCCTTGATAATTCTTCCATCGATTGGTCTGTTAGCTTTACTTTACAGTCAATATCTTCTGTGAAACCTGTTGGCTTTCGTTGTCTTGGCTTTGGTATAGGTGCTTTACGACGGGTTGCGTTTGCTGTTTCTTGTTCTTTTAATTGTAAGTCGGCTAAGCTGCCAAGGATTGAGTAATATCGTTCCACGGATAGAGTGGTATTGTCCAGTATTTGTTTCACTGAAAGGACTTTGTCTATTACTAAAAAAAATACAAGATATGTATTTTAATAGGAGTCCTTAAAGTTCTCATAGATTTACTACAACTTGGGTGTTCTTGGTAGACTATTCAATTGCTGCTTAAGCTATTGGGTGTTAGTCCTGTAGTAGTGGCGCAGTGGTTTGTGTATGTGCTTAATGACCGTGTTGGATACCCATCTCAGTCATGTGTGTGTGTGTGTAGAATGCTTCCAGATTTGCTTCACCAAACCCCACAGGTCTTCTCTCTCCTGCAATAACTGTAGTGATCCTTTCTAAACACACTAAAATTGTAGTATCAGTAACCAATATCAGATCACCCTCACCTGGAGAACAGTTTAGAATTGACAAATATAGTATCCTATATAAATATAGTTTTTTAGGTTTCCTTCTGTAGTAAACGCTGGACCAATAATATATTACCCTTACTGGACCTCTTGGAGCTATCCAGTTTAAATAAAGTTAGTTTTCTTTCTTAATAGGAAATGAATACCTAACCCATCGTACCATTTGGATCTTCGAATTTAACCAATGCTATTTTTTTTTCTAGGTCCAGATCGACTCTCTCAACCTCCCCGCCTCCAGCTCGCTTGCTTTCAAAGCTTAACGACACAGAGTCATCAGTTGCTGTAGCTGGTAAGTTTTTTACTAAGATTGTTTTACACAGAGGAACGGCCTTGATTGATATGTGTTTTCCTTCTAACGTTGGCTTCTTTTTGAAATCAGCCTGTATCTTGTCGAAATCTGAAACGAAAGAGAAAAACATTTTGTTTTGGTATTACTACGACTAATGATGAAACAAAAATTCCTTGTTTCACCAAACGATTTTACTCATCCAAGGAAAGCTCTTTGGCATTATTGGGGTAATAGAATTAGCCATATACCTCTTGTTAATCTGTTAAGCAGTGATGCGCCCTATTTCATTTTATAGTTTAATTGCCAGACATTTTCCTTTGATCAAAGGGAGACTTTTGAGAATCAATTGGTTAAGCATTGTACCGCCTCAATATCAACTTTCTTCCAACTTTTGAAATTATCAAGATTCTTGCAACTTCTTTACCGTTACTAAATTAACTATATTTACCATAGGCGTACAAGTTTAGTGGGGCAGACTTTGCTTAAAAATTTGGCAATTTTCTGGGCCTGGTCGCCTCGGTATAATGTATTTGACATGATGTTAATGTTTAGATGTTTAGGCACAGAAACTGAATGACAGATTGAAATTTGTTTCATTAAGTTCCAATTGCATGTGGTAGAGTGTGGAGTTTTGATGTAGCGCAAAGAATTAAATCTCAGGAATACTTTTATTTATCGTTTCAAAATTTACTATATTTCCGCGTGTCTGTATCGAAGATGTGTTCCTTTTATTTTGCTTCTATTCGTCTATAAATAAATAAAACCAGGATAATGTCGGCCAATTTCCATCAATGTCGGGCAAACTTTTGTCCGCCCCCATTATTTTTTCGCTCGTACGCCTATGATGTTAACACCGGATAGCACTACCATTTCTAAACTGTTCTCCCCAGAGCTCCACTGCATGTGGCACCGATACTCTCTACCCCTCATGTATATTTTCTAGATCATTTCTCAACTCACCTATTGGGCTGTGGAATGTTACAATTGCATTAACACTCTCGCTGCTCTTCGCATGGCCATACTTGATATCTTTCACGTCTGAGTCGCTTAATCGTTCCATGTAAAACTTAAGACAATCTTCCGTAGTTTTCTTGGAAATGCCTTCAACGAAAACTTTGTCATTTTCAGAAATTTCCACCTTCTTTCGTCGTGTCAGCGTTAGTGTAGATCCTTCAAGAGAATGCTGGCTTGTTTCCAAAGCCTTTTTAGCATCTTAAAAATAAGAAAATGGTAATGTAATGAACGTTTGGCCGGCATCTCAAAATCTTTTAAATAATCAGTCCTGTGTAATCTGCTCGAATGTTTTCGATGTTCTCTAAAGTTAAGGGCAATACTCTCGTACTAGTTTTTGACTAAAAGCATCAAAATGTAGCATTTTCAAATAACATTAATAGCACCCGACACCTTCTTGCTGTTTTGAATTGATGCCACGGTTTAGGTCAACTTTCGCATATCATTTTTGTGGCTGATCTTGCGCTAAAACAAGGGTGTAAATTGTAAATGTAATTTGTAAAGATGATGAAATCGGCCGTATAACGTCAGGTCGACTTCAGAAATTGACGTCAGGTCGAGCATTTGACGATTCTTTGTTTTTCGACTTCTACTTGATTTTCGGGAAAACTTTCGTTCAATTATTCATGAGGCAGGTAAATCAAGCGGGTAAACGAAGAAGCATTGCTGGGATTGTACTACAATTGCCCTACCAACTTGCAAGTAAACTATAACTAAACACCGATCCACGTGATAACCTATCAAAACAACCTGGACTTTTTGTTACTATAGTATTTAACAGCTTTAATTCGGCACGTAGATAACTTGACACTATTGTACACATCTTACATAGATAATTACTTTGAACAAGAATATAGAAAGTAGGTCCCATGCATGGCACTCACCTACTAGAAGAGCAAGAAAATATAGAATAGAAAAATGGAAGGTGAATGGAAAACTAGAAGCACAGAAGAGAGAAATAGTAGAATGAATGACCTGCATGGAAGATATTAGTTTGTCGTGATCAATGAGTGTGAGCTAGGTAAGTGAGGAGTGTAGGCACAATACAATACAATACAACAATACAACTTTATTTCACTCTTAGATAGAAATACATAAATAATACACAATTCTTAAATAATTGGTACATAGATAGAATTTATATTTTATAACATTTTTAGAGCTTGAAAGCTAAATGAACCGTTAGGCAGTCAGGTGGAGGAAAGTCTTGTGTAGCGGTATGATTTAAAGGTGGAGAGAGTGTCGTAGCAGTTGGAAGGAGCAGATAAATATATATACATAGAAACGCGAAGCGTTGAGACGAATATTCCTGCACATTCACCGACACTGAGGAGAATAATTACATGTTTTAGCATATTCCATTACAAAACATAAATGACCAAAAAACAACGAAAATATTTGTAAAACAATTTGTATTTGAACTTCCGTAATAGTTGTAAACAAAACATGCAGTATTTACACGCTTTCGGCAATCTTATCATTTTTATTCATTAGAAACAGCTTTAAAGAATACCTCTACACACTATTGACTTTCTGTGGCTTTGCCGAAACGGCAGCTTCGTATTATACTATACGTAATTGCTTATCTGTAACCGGAACGAAACGGGAAGCCATTTTGTTCCGTTGTCCGGAGGTGAATAGTGCAAGGATATCCGGAGCTGAACAACCAATCAAATTACGTGAAAAGCACTATCGCAACCTCCCGAATCCCGATTATTTAATGGGGAACATGTTTATTCCAAACATGTTTAATTTGTATTTTAAAGCATTTGCTTCTAAAAATCGCTATTTAAATTATATCACTTCATCTTTAATGACTGTGGTTGCAAACTATACAGTAGTTTGTGCATGGCTTCGATTTCGAAAGCGAAAGATGAAATTATGCCGTTTCCTCGTTAGCATTATTGACATATTGTCGTTTCTACATGTATAGTTAGGTCAGTAGAAAGTATTGTCTGTGTTCCAACACTCGTTATATTTCGACATTGCGTCCATGCTTGGACAAATCTCAAAGGCTGGCGACATTTGCTTAAGATTTGTTGGCTAGACCAATCCGCTATTAAATATACCATCAAATTGTACTGCTAACTGCTTTCAAATTTGCAACATTTAAATACTTTATGGCGATCGATAAATTGCATTATAGTTCATTGACAAATTCATTGTATATTTGATGTCGTACTAATGCTGGTTATTTCTACTAGTTCCTTGACTGATTACAGTTAGCCTCACATAGCTGAATTGTGCAGGTGATGACTGAGTCAACTAGCAGTTACCAGGCAGAGTGAGAAAATGGTCTAAATTCATTCATTATATATATGCATTAAGCTGCATTCATTATATTATAAATATCTAAAATTGTGGGATCTAGTTTCATATTCGTGCTCTAATCATTGTAATCAGTCAATAATTAATCAATAATTTATTTTTTTTATTGACTTCAATGCTGCCCTGTAATACTGCAATACTTACTGAAACCCAGTTATAACACATAAAGACAGTCTTGTGTTCTTACCTTCGGCGTTAGCAAATGTTATTAATGCATTCCCACTTCCTTTAATATATTCTATATTCACAATGTCTCCTCCACGTTTTGAGGACGAGAAATAGTTCTCCAAAGTGTCTTTTGAAGTGTTTGTGTTTATTCCTGTCACTTCGATAATCACGGATTCGTATTCGTCCATATTTTGTACGTTTATTTTGAAGTATTTGGCTACATGTTTATTGCATATCTGTAAATTCCAAGAATGTGTATGATTGTAATTTGTAAGGGCCTTCCCCTGACCTTGGATTCCTCTGAAATTTAATAGCTCTACTTGGAATCGAAAATGAAAGTGAAAATAATTGGGCTCTTTTGCAGTCTTTGCAGTCTCTTTCGCTCGTATGAAAATTGCAAAATGGGATTACTTTAAGTTTAATGGTGAAGTAATACGAGCAACACTACTACCACAATTTGCACCAAAAGTTGATTTCGACCAATGTTGATTCAGATTTTAATCATTCTCGTCCCCAGGCTATTACATTACCTCTGTGCTATTACGTTTGCGGCAACTGGTGACTGAGTATAATGCATTTTATTGTGCTTATAGTTAGACCGCGCAGAGAAATGAGATTCAGCATTCAGTTTTGAATGGGAAAATGAAGCTGACTGACTATTTACATTTACCGGTATGTTTGATTGACAACAGTCGATAGAACGACACGAGTTGTAAAATTTGTGGAACTTGTTTTACGATTGGTACGAGTAGACAAATCGTTTTACGAGTAGACAATTGGAAAGGTCGATTCATACGAGTCAACAACTTGTTTTACTAGTCGTAAAATATAAATGCCGACTTGTAACCCGAGATTGCAGAGTAAGTTCGATGTTAGGGTAGGTAAAACAAATCGGGTACGAGTTGTAGAAAAGAAATGCGGAATAGTAACATATAAATTATCGATCCAGGCCCAGGGTGTTGGAAAGGCTGGTCTTAAAAGTTCAAGAGGGTTCAATCATGTTCATCGTATCAATTTTAGTTGCGGGATTGAGAGAGATTCATTACTACCTGAAAAATACTAAAGCAGAACGTACGTCATGACTTGTTATGGTCGCTATACCTAGGTACATTATGGCACCGACCGTTCGAGATGATGTCGTATCAGTAGTTTACCAGAATGTTTATTAATACAACTGTTTATTTGATAACAAGCTTTCGTTGGTAGGGATGCAACTACCTGAAAAATATAAGGAGAATTTCGACGTTTCGAACGAAGGGCCTTCGCTTGAAACGTCGAAATTCTCCTTATATTTTCAGGTAGTTTTGCACTACCTACACTGGCACAGACAGTTCAAGATGGTTCATTTGATAATCCCGTGCTTGCACATGACGTCACGACGTGTCATTAGGCGCCATCTTGGTTGTTGATATTAAAGTTTTGTCCAGCCATTTACATCGAAATAGTTGAGTTACTTTAATATTTTTGGTTTGTTTTGAAAACGTCTTACTGTATTATGGATAGTTTACGATTTCTGGCACAATACGACAAAGAATGAAGAATATAGATTTTTAGTTGCCACGAAAATCAACCTAGATGGCGTCGATTGCAAACGAGCAATATGTCTAATTAAGGGTATAGATACATATTACACTAATTCTACATAATGAAAAACTGCTATTCTCATTTCTGCAAATCTCTAAAGTTTTCAAGATCGCTTTGATGGACATATTTTGGATACCAGGCATAGGCATCGAAAGATCGATAAGTGGGGGGACCATATTCATATATTCGTGTTCACAGACCTGAAAAACAATCGATTTCAAAAGAAATTAATAATGCAGAACATGAATATATGAATATGCCCCCCCCCCCCCACTTATCGATCTTTCGACGCCTATGATACCAGGTTTTGGTAGCTTACGCTCTGGTTAAAATATTGTGAATGAAGCGTTGAGCATATAGCCTGTAACTAAATGTCTTTCAATAAGAATGGGGCCCTTGTATTGGGGCGACGGATATTTTTATAGAAGAGTTGATTGGTTAACCCAAGTGCATCAGTTGTTCACGTGCTGTTGCTAAGGTTCAATTTCTTTTTGGCAGCAGGATCAGAAAATAATGCCTTTTTTTATCAACGTGCAGTAGTTTTGATGACAGATTGGCATTATAAGGCAAATAGAGTCTTCTTGGACACATTACTTCATTAACCGCAATTTATTGCGTTGCATAAATTGAATATTTATTTTGCAGTAAAATATTTTTATGATTGTCAACCTGGAGTAACTCAAAGCATGAGTTGGAAAGTAATGTGCACATATTCCGAGCTTATAGCGTTGTTTTGAATTGTACAAGAATTCTCTGTGTCCCGTAATCTGATTATTAAATTTATTATACATATTACAACTTTTTTGTAATTCTGTGTAAAATAGATATCAGTTTCTGACATCATTATACGTCTAATTAATTTCCAAAGATTGACTTGTTAAGAATTCTTAAAAGTAATTAAATATTCAGGATAGCTCTGATAATCAAAGAAAATGACAAACAT